TCTGTGTCCTGTCACTGGGAAGTCCGTGTTGACTCACGGCTATAGCGCTTCAACAGAAGAGCAGTGTGTCTTGGAATCAATCGGCGTTAATCACGGGTGACGTCATTCATCAATCATTAGCCGTTAATCATGCATAATCATATCATGATGGGACAGATAGAGCCAATCCATTATATGTGACCCTGGAGCACAAAACCAGTCATAAGGGTTAATTTTTTGAAATTGAGATTTATACATCATCTGAAAGCTGAATAGATAAGCTTTACATTGGTGCATGGTTTGTTGGCTGTAGATGCAACTATTTGAAAATCTGGAATCTGATGGTGCAGAAAAATCTAAATAGTGAGAAAACCGCCTTTAAAATGGTCCAAATGAAGTTCTTAGCAATGCATATTACTAAACAAAAATTAAGTTTTGATATATTTACAGTAGGACATTTATGAAATATCTTCATACTTAATATCCTAATGCTTTTTGGCATAAACAAAATGGATAATTTAGCTTTTGTGCTCCAGGGTCACATTTGTCCTTTTCTCTATGACAGATGCTATGACACACTATTTCCCTAATTGATGCTGCACAGTTGCTTTGACACAATCTGTATTGTTAAAAGCACTATATAAAGCTGACTTGACTTGACAGATGCATGTATGCAAAAACACGTAAAGTGCTAAAAGCTTCGTTAAATGGTGATATTTTTTGGTCAAATAAGGTTATTTGTCATGTAATGGCCATTGATCATCCATGCTAACATCATCATGATGGGAGAGATGGAATCCATTGCATGTCATTTTATCTGTGACAGATGCATGCCAACATACATAAAGTGCTAAAACTTGCCAATCATGATGTCAGTATGGACGAATCCATTATTTGTCTATTTCTCTGCAACAGATGCATAAAATACCTAAAGTGCTACAAACTTTGCAGAATAATAAAATCTCGGCGAACTTTCACAGGCAAAAAAAGATACATTTTCAAACATCATGATATAATAGTTAGAACCCATTACTTGTCCATTGTTCTATGAGCATTGTTGGGGAAAGTTACTTTGGTGAATAATTAATGACAGAATGATCTGTTTTGGCTGAACTGTCCCCTTAAGTGTTGTTTGTTTGTTATATACTGAGATGCAGGTTCAACCTTGCCTTTTCCACCATCTCCCTGTTGGCCGGCTGCAATGGTGCAGTGACATTTTTCAAGGTTGCCAGATCAGTGAAACTGGAGAAAGCAAATTAGGGCCAGTGTACCAGTTTTAATTGAGGGGGTTTTCGCTGACTGCCATGCACGCTTCTGTTTGTCCAGAGAGAGAGAGAGAGAGTGTGTGTGTGTGTGTGTGTGTGTGTGACTGCAGTGCTGTAAATAGGTGTGCGAGTAAGGTAGCTATTTCTGTACGTGGAGGTGTTGAGGGAATATACTACATCTTTAATGCAGGAACAACGACACTGACTGCTGGAGGACTGCCAGGGATCTTAACGGAGCCTCTATAGACACGTACACACACATGCTTTTGCATGCAATTATAAACTGATCTAAAAATGAGGAATATGATAATTGCCTGAATGTGTGCAGAGTTGAGGGAACACAGGTGCTAATTCATACACACACACACACACACATGCAAGCAATATGTGCTGCCCAGCAACAGAGGACAATAATAAAAAAAAATGTCACGTGAATAGTTTCTTTTTTCTTTGCAAAACTGAATTTAGAAGCTGTGAGAAGCACTAGATGGCAGTAGACTAACATAACACAGTCTCCCTAGCCCTGACATGCTCTTCTGGAGTCTCTGGCTGTGTTCAGAACTGAAAACTAGCTTACTGAATAGTGAATACTGCACAGGACATGCTGTCTTTTTTATGTATCTTTTCATAGTGTGAAACAGAATGCATAAGCAGTAATACATGTTTCAGAAAAAGAGGTCTAATGCTGTCATCGTTGCTTCATGGGCAGCTGTTTGAGCGAATCCCACGAGGTATAAATAACATCAGAAATATCACTGCTAAATGTAAACTTTACTGTATAAAGTACAATGCTGCGATGCCTAATTTGATTTTAAAACAATTAATTTGGGTTTCTAGGGTTTAATTTTTCATATATTTAGACTAAAATTATCAGTTGTCAGGCATAACAACATTAGCCTGCATAAAAAAAAATAATATGTGTGTGTGGATAGTTCACATACTACTGTACAGTACATACAGAAGAAATAGTATGAGAAATATGCTTGTCCGTGCTATTTTCTAAAATAGGGCTCTGATCAAACATATGCAGCTCTATTAGTTCACTGAACAGCAAGCGAACCCGTTTAACTCAAAGCAAGAGAGCCTTCAGGTGGGATGATCGGGTTTATTTCTCTGATGTAGGCAGGAGATGTGGGAAGAAAAGGGTGGAAGGTTGACGGGAAATAAATCACACATTCTAGCACAGTGAGCTAACCTCGGTACATCTTTGCATGCCTTTGCCAAAGACGCAGACTTTACGCCACCCACCAGGTCTGATGAGGGGCTTTATTTTGGTCTTCTGAAATATTACACGGATTTATGTCTGCCGAGCGTCAGAATTCCTAATGCAGAGCGTGCAATATTCAGAAAAAAGCTCGTCCGAGGCGAGAACATGTTTGAAGAAGATGTGTGTGTAAATCATGCGAGCGGCCTCTCATCTCTCTCTGCCCATAAGGCCACAACACTAAGTATTTTCCCGGAATGCATTCAGCTGCCTGTTATCTAAGTAAGTGATGAGATACGCTACAATTCAGTTGTTCCAAGGTATGCACAAACACCCTCCAGGTAAAAGAAAACTATTCCTGGTTATCTGATGATGAAAGATGAATTTGTTATGTCTTCACGACAGGAATTGTTGAGCGCTAGAAACTGAAAGCATTTTCTTGATACAACGATATTCAAGGGGTCTGTAGGTGATAGTTATTTTAATTTTTGAGGTCTACCAACCTTATTGAGGACGTCTCTCTGGGAGCCCAAGTACAGGTGGGGCAGAATGCGGGTGGGACCGACGTTGGCCACAGATAAACAGGGTTGGGACAGACTGATAGGTAGAATAGTGGCTGGTTTATTCTCACACAGGTCAGGAAAACAGGAAGAGAAAGCTGCAAAGCCACCTGAAAGAGTACAGCGAAGAAGAGAACTGTTTTAGTTTGAATATAATCGGATATGATTCAGAGGGCAGACCAACACAACAACAACCATAAAATATCATGTGTACATTGTTCTTACACACACAGTTTGCTGCAAACTCAATTACTTACAGTAAGAATGGAATAATAGTAACAATGAAGGGGGTTTCCAAACATCCAAACCGACTGAATTACACATGAAGCCCAAACACAAACTCCACAGGGGCCAAGAAGCCTTTCCGCTACAGCAGAGACATCCTGCACTAGCATATCCAGCACACTTCGTGTACAGTAGATGACCCTCCACCAGGATGAAGAAATCAGTCTTTACACTCTCTGATCCCATGCTTTTCACTCAAGCAAACCAGCCTCTATCCGCTCTGCACTATTGCTAGGTTGCAAGAGTGGCTAACCCTGTCTTTGAAAAGGAAATGAGAAAAGCAACGGGCTGGTGAAAGCTGAGCTCTGCCACTTTACGAGGCAGATAGGGTGTCAGTGTCTGGTTCTTCATCTCCTCTCCCTGTGACCAGCATCACACAGTGGGAATGAGGCAGGCCACAGGAACACTGACACCCAACCAGAGCTCAGAGGAAGCACACACACACACACACTCTCTCTCTCACACACTTTCATTGTGAATGATTCCAGCTTCTAAAGGCCTGTTCATACCATGGGCCATAACTATGACGATAACAATAAGACATCTTTTTAAAAATGGCTCTACACTTAAAAGAATAGCAAGTCCACACCACAACTCCTGGAACAAAGGAACAACATCGTTGGAATCACACAGAACGATTTTTTTCCCCGGCTGATGAACGATAAAAATATTGACTGCCAATCAGAATCCATCCTGCTCAATCATTTGATGACAAATCAGCTTATAATAAACAGAATGGTATCATAAATTGAAGTAGACACTTATTGTTCTTGCGTGAACGGGCCTATACTCGTATAGTCTAGTAGAGGATTTTAAACGTTTTATTGCTAAGGACCCCCAAAAGTGATATTATAGACTTTTGGATGTATTGTGCTAAAATTTATAATAATAAAAAAAAATTCAAAAAACTAAAACATTTCATTCGTATTTAGTTAACAAAATAACTTTTTTTCTAAGTAGTATTAGAATATAATTGAAACATTTTCATATTTTAAATGTTTTTTTGTATTTTTTTTGTATAGCACTTCTAAATATATACCACACAATAAATATCATTCCAAAGCAGCCTGACAGGAAGGTTTGCTCTATAAAATGCGGTTGCATACAACTCATATCATATGTGTGTAATTAAAATTGTGCATAAAGTTCCAAATAAATACTCACTCACACATACTCATGTACTGGCCTCAGTATTTATTTGTTTGGACCATGTACAATGTTTTAACATAACTATTTTCTAATGCATTGTACCAGATTTAGCCTTATTTCCATCTGCAATTATTTTGGGATCTCAAATGAAACCATGTTTAGTCTCTTTATTTGGTGACCTCAATCCTAAAACTCACAATGTGAGTGTGTTATTCCTTTACAGTTCCTGTTAAAAGATGGAAGTTATGAAGAAGTTCATACAGACAGACCAATTCTACAGAATTCCACCGGCAAATATAGAACTAGGGGGAAAAAAAAAATCCAACAGCTTCCTTGAGCAGATTCCGGCTGTATCAGTGAGTCTGTCACGCATGCTAAAGCTATTGTAAAGGAGAAATATGTCGAAAGATTATCTGTCAAGACAGGGCTAACAACCCAACATCAATGAAAGTATTTTCCCGGAATGCATTCAGCTGCCTGTTATCTAAGTAAGTGATGAGATACGCTACAATTCAGTTGTTCCAAGGCATGCACAAACACCCTCCAGGTAAAAGAAAACTATTCCTGGTTATCTGCTGATGAAGCATTTAGAACGTAGGTGATTCCATTCTGAGTCATCAGTTCCTGTTAAAAGATGGAAGTTATGAAGAAGTTCATACAGACAGACCAATTCTACAGAATTCCACCGGCAAATATAGAACTAGGGGGGAAAAAAAAATCCAACAGCTTCCTTGAGCAGATTCCGGCTGTATCAGTGAGTCTGTCACGCATGCTAAAGCTATTGTAAAGGAGAAATATGTAGAAAGATTATCTGTCAAGACAGGGCTAACAACCCAACATCAATGAACAACGTGCTTTGTTTAAAAGGAGCGCCTGGCCCTTTAAGGCCCAGCTCAAGGGCTGCCTGTTTCCAGCTATTAAAAGCAACCTCCAAGCAGCATGACATCATCGCTCAACACGCGGGTGGCCAACAGGCCGTCTCTCCTCTTCGGGATACACATGCACACACATATGCACTCCAGAAGTTTTGACTAGCACCCAATGCACCGGCACCATGCAGGCGAGGCGAACATGCTCCGACATGAGGTTTTAACATCCCACGACTGATTAGCCTGCTTTATGACATCACAAGCCAAAGTGAAAGCCAGTTTCCAGGCCATGCAGAAAAAGAAAAGGCGAGCAGACGTGAAGTGCCTTGACTGAATTAGTGCAGACCTGGTTGGCTGACATTCCACAGGCATGATTTCAGCGTGTCCTAGTGTGGTGGACAGACGGGCAAAGCAAATCCACTCTGAGGGTTGCATGACATGCGGCACGCCGAGATAAAAATGACTTCATTATTGATTTTAGTGTAGGATTAACACATATTGTGTGTTGCAAGCAACCGTCTTGTTTTGCATAAATTGCAAAACTTTCAGAAAGTGCTTGCATTGAAGAATCTGACATGTTGCTGGAGTAAAATAATACATGCACAGTCACACTTAAACTGCAAAAAAATATAAATAAATAAATAAATAAGTAACAATTTTCTAACCATGAATTGCTGTCATTTTTCCAGTACAGACATCTATTTGTAAATCAAGACTATTACATGAGAAGCAAATGACTTAAGAAGTCTTGTTTTCCGAGAAACGGATCGAAGTAAAGTGAGCTTAAAACAAGAACAAATATATGACAGTGGGGTCAGAAAAATTGTTTTCCGTCTCTGCTGGCAGATATTTGTTCTTGTTTTAAGCATAAACTCACTTCATTTTGATCCGTCTCTCAGAAAACAAGAATTCTTAACTCACTGTGCATCTCCATTAAACGCATCTCGATTTAATAATGTTTCAATATTTGTACTGGAAAACAAGACAGACATACTAAAAAAAAAAAAAGAACAGCAGTGAACCTTAACTTGTGACTTAGCAACTTAATGGCAAGATCCACAAAAATGTGTTTTGGTTTTCCTGAACATCTGGTTTGAAATATTACAGCTTCTGAATTAGGATTTGGGGAAAAGCAGCATAGATCCCCTCTCTAGTGAGCAGAGACATCTCAATGATATCAGTCCCCCAAAATATCCTCAGTGCTTCACATGGTGCGCAGGTGTTACACTTACAGGCTGGAAAACTCAATGGCTGAGTAAAAAAACCCTCACTTTCAGAGTGCATATACTGGTGTGATCCGAATCTAGTTGTCTAATAAACCTGGCATGGTGTATTATGATTATTGTTGGTGTTCTGATTAATTGCTTTTGTTTCTCTTTTGCAAGTCACTTTTGTGCAGACTGTATTAATTTTTATGGAACAAGAGCAGAGTTGTGGCTGCGCTTTTTGAAATGAAATAAAAAAAAAAACATATGCATTATGTGTGCATGAGGACTAAATACAGATCTGTAGTGTTTAGGACCTTGCTTAGCAGGAGCTTAGAAAGTATTTTCCCGGAATGCATTCAGCTGCCTGTTATCTAAGTAAGTGATGAGATACGCTACAATTCAGTTGTTCCAAGGTATGCACAAACACCCTCCAGGTAAAAGAAAACTATTCCTGGTTATCTGATGATGAAAGATGAATTTGTTATGTCTTCACGACAGGAATTGTTGAGCGCTAGAAACTGAAAGCATTTTCTTGATACAACGATATTCAAGGGGTCTGTAGGTGATAGTTATTTTAATTTTTGAGGTCTACCAACCTTATTGAGGACGTCTCTCTGGGAGCCCAAGTACAGGTGGGGCAGAATGCGGGTGGGACCGACGTTGGCCACAGATAAACAGGGTTGGGACAGACTGATAGGTAGAATAGTGGCTGGTTTATTCTCACACAGGTCAGGAAAACAGGAAGAGAAAGCTGCAAAGCCACCTGAAAGAGTACAGCGAAGAAGAGAACTGTTTTAGTTTGAATATAATCGGATATGATTCAGAGGGCAGACCAACACAACAACAACCATAAAATATCATGTGTACATTGTTCTTACACACACAGTTTGCTGCAAACTCAATTACTTACAGTAAGAATGGAATAATAGTAACAATGAAGGGGGTTTCCAAACATCCAAACCGACTGAATTACACATGAAGCCCAAACACAAACTCCACAGGGGCCAAGAAGCCTTTCCGCTACAGCAGAGACATCCTGCACTAGCATATCCAGCACACTTCGTGTACAGTAGATGACCCTCCACCAGGATGAAGAAATCAGTCTTTACACTCTCTGATCCCATGCTTTTCACTCAAGCAAACCAGCCTCTATCCGCTCTGCACTATTGCTAGGTTGCAAGAGTGGCTAACCCTGTCTTTGAAAAGGAAATGAGAAAAGCAACGGGCTGGTGAAAGCTGAGCTCTGCCACTTTACGAGGCAGATAGGGTGTCAGTGTCTGGTTCTTCATCTCCTCTCCCTGTGACCAGCATCACACAGTGGGAATGAGGCAGGCCACAGGAACACTGACACCCAACCAGAGCTCAGAGGAAGCACACACACACACACACTCTCTCTCTCGATGGGAGACTGACTGTTACGAAACAGGGAGAGACTGAGGAACAAAATAGCGACAGAAGACGCGAAACATTTGAATACAGACATTAAAAGCAGATGAGCTCATAGGCATGAAGACTCATAAGCAGATGCATGTGACTGGAGAAGGCAATTATTCATTTCATCCAATTCAACATTTACTAACCCAGTTCACATCAGATAAAGAGTTCTGGACTTTTCAATGTAATGTTCACATGACATCATTCGGCAAGGCCATTAGATATGCTATGTGAGTCAAACCAAACAGACCTGTTTAAAAGACCTTTTCACGTGAGTCACAAATGATATCATGACCCGCTCTTGACACGGAAAAAAGTGTCAGTGTTATTCGATTCACACCGGTGTGACCCCAGGCCATTGACTTCACGCCGAGAGTTCAACAAGCTACCAGGAAGTTGTTTCAAACCACTCACTCGTTCAGGTTTGATTATATACAAGCACAAGCCGAATATTCAAATCTGCAACGTGCTTTGTTTAAAAGGAGCGCCTGGCCCTTTAAGGCCCAGCTCAAGGGCTGCCTGTTTCCAGCTATTAAAAGCAACCTCCAAGCAGCATGACATCATCGCTCAACACGCGGGTGGCCAACAGGCCGTCTCTCCTCTTCGGGATACACATGCACACACATATGCACTCCAGAAGTTTTGACTAGCACCCAATGCACCGGCACCATGCAGGCGAGGCGAACATGCTCCGACATGAGGTTTTAACATCCCACGACTGATTAGCCTGCTTTATGACATCACAAGCCAAAGTGAAAGCCAGTTTCCAGGCCATGCAGAAAAAGAAAAGGCGAGCAGACGTGAAGTGCCTTGACTGAATTAGTGCAGACCTGGTTGGCTGACATTCCACAGGCATGATTTCAGCGTGTCCTAGTGTGGTGGACAGACGGGCAAAGCAAATCCACTCTGAGGGTTGCATGACATGCGGCACGCCGAGATAAAAATGACTTCATTATTGATTTTAGTGTAGGATTAACACATATTGTGTGTTGCAAGCAACCGTCTTGTTTTGCATAAATTGCAAAACTTTCAGAAAGTGCTTGCATTGAAGAATCTGACATGTTGCTGGAGTAAAATAATACATGCACAGTCACACTTAAACTGCAAAAAAATATAAATAAATAAATAAATAAGTAACAATTTTCTAACCATGAATTTCTGTCATTTTTCCAGTACAGACATCTATTTGTAAATCAAGACTATTACATGAGAAGCAAATGACTTAAGAAGTCTTGTTTTCCGAGAAACGGATCGAAGTAAAGTGAGCTTAAAACAAGAACAAATATATGACAGTGGGGTCAGAAAAATTGTTTTCCGTCTCTGCTGGCAGATATTTGTTCTTGTTTTAAGCATAAACTCACTTCATTTTGATCCGTCTCTCAGAAAACAAGAATTCTTAACTCACTGTGCATCTCCATTAAACGCATCTCGATTTAATAATGTTTCAATATTTGTACTGGAAAACAAGACAGACATACTAAAAAAAAAAAAAGAACAGCAGTGAACCTTAACTTGTGACTTAGCAACTTAATGGCAAGATCCACAAAAATGTGTTTTGGTTTTCCTGAACATCTGGTTTGAAATATTACAGCTTCTGAATTAGGATTTGGGGAAAAGCAGCATAGATCCCCTCTCTAGTGAGCAGAGACATCTCAATGATATCAGTCCCCCAAAATATCCTCAGTGCTTCACATGGTGCGCAGGTGTTACACTTACAGGCTGGAAAACTCAATGGCTGAGTAAAAAAACCCTCACTTTCAGAGTGCATATACTGGTGTGATCCGAATCTAGTTGTCTAATAAACCTGGCATGGTGTATTATGATTATTGTTGGTGTTCTGATTAATTGCTTTTGTTTCTCTTTTGCAAGTCACTTTTGTGCAGACTGTATTAATTTTTATGGAACAAGAGCAGAGTTGTGGCTGCGCTTTTTGAAATGAAATAAAAAAAAAAACATATGCATTATGTGAGTGTGTGCATGAGTGTGCATGAGGACTAAATACAGATCTGTAGTGTTTAGGACCTTGCTTAGCAGGAGCTTAGAACAAGAGTGCTAATTTTGTTGAGGGGGACATGATACTCCAGCAAGTTCAGACACATTCAGATTGATGGTATGACACAATGTCATATTTCAAATCTCACAGTCATCAGGTTTCCATATTTCTGCTGTTGATGCCAGCGCATGATAGATCGAAGGCAGTTAAAATCTGCTGAAGTAGTACTGCAATTCTTCACCTGAACTTTTGTCCCGCAATGCAATAAATTAGATATGTGAATAAAGATGTTGCAACAAAACACATGACATTACCTCATCATTTGGGACTAGTTTATATATATAAAGGTTTCATTTGAAATATTCACAAGCAAATTTAAATACTAATCTACATTAATATGCATTAAAAAAAAAATCAAAGACAGTTTCTATTTCCTCTTTTATATAACCAAAATAGCTGTATAAATGTAAGCTTCTTAAATATACAGGTGTTATAAAACTATAAAAATCATAATTTAATATTCTATTTAATTTATAAAAGTATATAAATTATATACACACACACACACATACATTATAATTAAAATTATACACATATATATATATATATATATATATATATATAGAGAGAGAGAGAGAGAGAGAGAGAGAAATGAAAGAACATTTAGTAGGCAAGTCTCCTTCTGTGTTGACAGTGCATCAAAGATTGAAACTCTTGATGACAGGTGACTAAAAATCGACTGCACCCCCCTGAAGCCACTTGTCATCAATGTCCAAACATAAGAAGGAGGTCAGTGAGATGCAATAACACAGAGCGAATGAGACACACACTTGCATATACACATGCACATATGCATACATACTGTAAAGCAATGATGCACTCTGATACACTCCCATGACTACACTGACAAACGGAAGGAGAAATTAATCACAAATAACCCAAAGATGCATGCAAAACCTTCAATCCCACAAACACACACTCTCTCTTTCCAGCTCACCTCTCAGATCTCGCCCTTCTTTGATGCGCCTGACGCGCATCTTCAGCCTCATCTCGCTCTCGTGCATGTCTGTCCACAGCGGAGGAGGGATCACCAAGTCAACGGGCATTCAGGCGACACGCAGAAAACCTACACAATCCACTCAGAGCTCAGGTGAGCACTAGTATCAGAGGTGGAGATGTTTCCTCTGAAGATAAGGGGATGAAAGGGCCTTTGTGTCTCAGCTGCCGCCGCAGCCGTGCTCTTTGCTCTCGTGTGTCTCTTCACTTCTGACTTTGGCTCGGCATGCTCCTGCCTCTCTATTGTTGAGCCTCCTCCCTCTCGCTCGCTCGCTCCCTCCCCGTCTGTGAATGAGCGCACTGGCTGTGCTCTACTGGGGCCTGTGTTCAGTAATAGCTCATGTGTAAGGCATGCAACCACATTCCTGACTCATCAGACAACTATGCGGCCACTGTTGGGGCCAGAGCCGCGCGCGGAGGGAAGAGCGGCTCCTACGCCTGCCGGACAACATGTGTATGTGTGTGTTTGCAATCAACAAAGGAGCCCTAGTTGCTTTCGACTGACCTCTCTGCTTACTGTAGTCATCATCATTGCTTATGTAATGGCACATTATCACGCGCATGATCTGTGTCCTGTCACTGGGAAGTCCATGGGAAGTCCAAGTTGACTCACGGCTAGCACATCACACTCGCTTCAACAGAAGAACAGTTTGTCCTGGAATCAATCAGCGTTAATCACGGATGACATCATTCATTAGTCATTAGCCATTAATCATGCATAGTTATAATTATATAATTATCATGATGGGACAGAGTGAATACATCGTGCCGTTTTCTCTATTACAGATGGATATGTGAAACTACTTAAAATGCTAAAAGCTTCGTGAAACTGCAGCATTAAGATGAATTTTAGTGATATTTTGTGGGCAATAAAGGCTCATTGTCATATATTGGCCATTAATCATCCATGCTAGTATCATGATGCGAGAGATCGAATCCATTACATGTCCTTTTATCTGTGACAGAAAAACTTAGTTAAACTGCAGCATAAAAACGTCCATTGCCAATCAATATCACCTCATGATGTCAGTATGGATGAATTTATTATATGTCCATTTCTCTGCGACAGATGCATACGCATCAATACCTAAAGAGCTACAAACTTAGTTAAACTGCAGAATAATTGTGCAGTCTATGACCAGTGTTGGGGAAAGTTTAAAGTAATGCATTACAATATCGTGTTACTCCCTTAAAATGTGACCAATTGCATTACTTAGTTACTTTTCATGGAAAGTGCATTACGTTACTTTTGGTTAGGTTTACTTGTTTGTTTTAATATTAAAAAGTTATATTTTTGGCAAATGTAAATGCCCTTTCACACCAAAAGTGAAATGAATAAGCCTTAGGCTGAAGGAAATGTAAATTAAAATCATTTTTGCTTATTAGTGCGGTTGAATTGGATCATCAAAGGTCTAGAACTACAGTATCATCATGTTCACAAACTGAAGCATACAGTCACATAGCTACATTTCAGCAAAGTTTTGCAAGTCAAAAAAAAAGTCAGATGTCAATCAATGGCCATTAATCATCATGCATATACTGACATCATGATGGGATAGATTGAATCTACTGTGTGTCCTTGTCTACACGACAGATGCAGATGTAAACATACATAAAGTTCTAATACTTTTGGTAAACTGCAGCATAAATATGTGGTCACAATAGCAAATAAATTCTGTCGTGAAATTTACTTGGGGAAATCTTTAGACCTCACACAAAATTACCCTTCAATTGAAATGACGGGATTTTGCCCATGGGGATTCAACAAACAATATTTTGTTCAAAAGATATTTTTAAAAAGGTTTTATTTTTGTATTTATTTAGGTTAATATAGGCTAATTCACATCAATGGGGTCCAAAGTGGTTTGGTTAATAACATTGTTCAAAATATCTTTTTTTTTTGTTCCGCCTGCAGGTTTGGAGAGACACGAGGGTGAGTAAATGATGACAGAATGCTCACTTTTGGCAGAACTGTCCCTTTAAATGTTGTGTGTTTGTTATATACCGAAACGCGGGTTCAACCTTGGCTTTTTCCATCTCCCTGTTGGCTGGCTGCAATGGTGCAATGACATTTTTCAAGGTTGCTCAGGTTGCCAGATCAGTGAAATTGGAGAAAGCAAATTAGGACCCGGCGGGTTCATGTACCAGTTTTAATTGAGGGGCTTTTCGCTGACCGGCCTGCACGTTTCTGTTCGTCCATAGTTGTGTGTTTGACTGCAGTGCTGTAAATAGATGTGCGAGTAAGGTAGCTATTTTGGTATGTGGAGGTGTTTGAGGGAATATACTACATCTTTAATGCAGGAACAACGACACTGACTGCTGGAGGACTGCCAGGGATCTTAACGGAGCCTCTATAGACACATACACACACATGCTTTTGCATGCAATTATAAACTGATCTAAAAATGAGGAATATGATAATTGCCTGAATGTGTGCAGAGTTGAGGGAACACAGGTGCTAATTCATACACACACACACACACACATGCAAGCAATATGTGCTGCCCAGCAACAGAGGACAATAATAAAAAATTGTCACGTGATTTTTTTTCTTTGCAAAACTGAACGTAGAAGCCGTGAGAACCACTGGATGGCAGTAGACTAACATAGCACAGTCTTCCTAGTGTACTTCAGAATGGACGCTTAGCTTACTGAATACTGAATACTGCACAGGACATGCTGTCTACCTTTTTTTCATAGTATGTGAAACAGAACATAGAAGCATTAATAACTGTTTCAAACAAAGAGGTCTAATATACCTGGAGAAAACTGCTTTACTGGAGCATACACCTATGATCTTGATGCTGCCATCTTTGCTTCAGGGGCAGTTGTTTGAGCGAATCACCTGAGGTATAAATAACATCAGACATATCACTGTTAAATGTAATCTTTATCAAATCTCAAAATGAATATCCATCTTCATAATGTATACACTGTTGTGGTGCCTAAATTAATTTTAAAACAATAAATTTGAGGGTTTAATTTTTCATATATTTAGACATAATTTATCAGTTGTCAGCCATAACAGTATTGGCCAGCATTAATATATATATATATATAGGCCAGCAATTTAATATCGGTCCATCCCCATTGTATATCTGTTACTTTGCATTTTATTGTCCAGTTTTTTTTATTTTTTTATTCTTAAGATCAAGTAATGCAATAAAAGGCAGATTGTAGCTATATATATATAAATGTTTCATTCACCAAACCTGAAATGAAAGTTGCATTACATGCATTGTGCTCTATCATATACAAATCACTGTGAAACTTCATGCATACATATACTTTTTAGACACTGTGCATAGTTCAGATACAACTGTACAGTACATACAGAAGAAACAGTATGAGATATATTTATATATGAATATATTTTCTAAAATAGAGCTCTGATCAAACATATGCAGATCTATTAGTTCACTGCACAGCAAATGTACCCGTTTAACTCAAAGCAAGATCCTTCAGGTGGGATGATCGGGTTTATTTCTCAGGAGATGTGGGAAGAAAAGGGTGGAAGGTTGAAGGGAAATAAATCACACATTCTTACACAGTGAGCTAACCTCGGTACATCTTTGCATGCCTTTGCCAAAGACGCAGACGTTACGCCACCCACCAGGTCTGATGAGGGGCTTTAGTTTAGTCTTCTAAAATATTACACGGATTTAGATCAGAATGTCTGCCGAGCGTCATAATTCCCAATACAGAGCATGCAATTTTCAGAAAAAAAGTGTGTCCGATGCAAGAACATGTTTGAAGAAAATGTGTGTAAATCATTCAAGCAGCCTCTCATCTCTCACTCCCCATAAGGCCATGACACTCAGTAGCATCTCCTAATCTTTGCATGATATCAGCACACCGCAATGCCGCATAGGTTTCTACACGTCCTCTGCGCGCTTCATCTGTCTAAATTACCAGAGCAGGTAAATGGCGCAAGCATCCAGCGACAGCTCAGAGCCTGTGTTGACAGAGCTGGTTGTTAAGACTCTGGCAAACAAGCAATCAATATGTAATCCCAGCCGTGACGTGGCTCTCGACCGCTGTCCTGGCATGCCACATCCATGATGTAGTGGACCGTCATTAGAAACTTACACCCTAATAAACCCCCTAACAGCTGCTGGAGTGAAGAGAGCCCAAATCTGGCCGAAGGGTCACTAACTTGGAAGACATTTGGAGAGGTTGACCTGTGAGGTCACTGGAAGCCCAGGGAATTTTTATATTGGGCTCTGGCAGTGCTTGCTGAAGGATGTGCTCATGTTTTGTTGTTAGACAGCAGTCGCAATTAAAACAGACAATTTTAACTGAAATTGCACAAACACACATGAACATACAGCTTCAAAGGTGAAGAGTGGAATTTATGGAATTGCAAAAATAAATGCTGCTGATTATGTCAAACTTTCACACTCAACAGGTCTCATTCAGTAATAATGTGTTACGTGATTGTGTAAAACCAGTTTCCTTTGTGCAACCAGCTTCACAAAGAAATCATGATTCATCAATAATTTAGCCCCCCCCAAAAAAATATATATAATTAAAAAAAAAATACAATTTAGAACCAACTGAAACCATATGTGTGAAAAACAATCATACTGTATGTACTATATATATATATATATATATATATATACACATACATACATACATACACACACTCACACACACATGACTATCACACATGATATTCTAGGTATTATTAAATGGCCAGAGTTCTGAGATTGCAGGACAATAGTGCGATATGAGCTCGCTCAAGTACTGAGGAGCTAAACCATTCAGGGCTTTATAAGTAATTAGCAAGATATTTAAAATGTATTTGTTGCTCAATAGGGAGCCAGTGCAGTGTTGACAGAACCGGACTAATATGGTCATACTTCCTGGTTCTAACTGATGACGAAGAATTGACAGAGCAGCCATCAAGTGTTGAAGGCAGTGTTTTAGGTTATTACATGCGGAGGTTTTTGGTCCAATAATTAACACCTCTGTTTTTTTCAGAATTTAGCAGTAGGAAATTACTAGTCATCCAGTTTTTTATATCAACTATGCATTCTGTTAGTTTTGCTAATTGGTATGTATCGTCGGCCCGCAAGAAATATAGAGCTGAGTATCATCAGCATAGCAGTGAAAGCCAACACCATGTTTCCTGATGATATCTCCCAAGGGTAACATGTAAAACATGAAAAGCAACGGTCCTAGTACTGAGCCTTGTGGTACGCCATACTGTACTTGTGATAATCTACTCAAAACAATGTTGTGGTTGATAGTGTCAAACGTACCGCTAAGATCGAGTAGCACTAATAGAGAAATACAACCACGATCGCATAAGAGCAGGTCATTTGTAACTCTGATGAGAGCAGTCTCAGTACTATGATACAGTCTAAATCCTGTCTGGATATCCTCGCAGATACCATTTATCTCTAAGAAGGAACATAGCTGAGACTAAGAAGGAACATAGCTGAGAGGATACTGCCTTTTCTAGTAATTTTGACAGAAAAGGGAGATTTGAGATCGATCTGTAGTTGACTAATTCTCTAGGATCAAGTTGTGTTTTTTTTAATGAGATGCTTAATAAGCCAGTTTGAAGAATTTTCGGACATATCCAAATGACATGTTGTTGGTTTTGATGATTTGACAAGTTTATATAATTCTT